TAACCCTTTCCAGACCAGGAAGATGTCACTGAAAACTTGACATTTCTTTCAATGGAAGAACTCAATGTTGAACATTTGAAAAATTGAAATACAATCAAAATCTTCACTACTGTAGACAAGTGGAAGTTCCAACTTTAAGTGTGCATAATAACTTCATTTGGGACAAAGTTTTAGTACTCTTAAATTTAAAAAATAGGTGTGGTCATAGCAGTGTTGTCTAACTTAACAAACAAAATGCAATTAATAAAGTAAGCCTAAGTTGAATATTTAAGCCTTCACTATTTTATAATTAAATCTACAGCAAATCCAATTCAACTCTTTTAACTTTATTTTGTATTTTAGACATTAAGTTGCCAAGTGTCATGATTTGCAAATGTTGTATGGTTATATTATGTATTGTGGGCTGGTATAGTTTGGCCATAAATAATGGTATGTTAAGTAATTCCTTCTATGGATACACCTGTCCTTTTCAGTGAATAATAACAATGAATGTATTATCCATTATGGTTGTGTTAAAATTTTTGCTTTGTTGTTCATTAAATCAATTTTCAATTAAGTATGACTGAAAATAAAAATTCAAAATGATGCAATGTTACTTATTATGTAATTCAGTTCCATGATTTTTTTTTTACATCAATTGCAAAACAAGTTCTACAAAACATAAATCCTAACCAATATATGGTTCAGGACGACCTAATTTTGACAGTTATCAGATTCCAGGCATAGTTATGAATAGTAATACTTACATACAATGCTTGAAAAGATGTGTGTTATGTAACATAGTGACAAAAAAAAGTTAGTGTAGCTACTGCCCAAGTTTCCAAGCATTGTCAGCAAAAAAAATATTAAAAAAATTGTATTTTATAATTGTTATAATTACATCAAACACACACACAGACAAACTTAAAATTCTGTTTGAAATGTACACAAAGAAACATAACAGTTACCAATTATTAAATGCAGTGTGAAACAAGCATAAAAATCACAGGTTAAAGGATAATCTTTAGTAAACTTAAAATTAATAGTTTAATTTAAATCCAACTAATATAAGTGTCCATTTTTTAAGGTCGGTGAAAATTAAGGAAACCAAAACAACTGTTGTTTAATTAAACTTTAAGCTTTAATTAGGAAATTATATATAAATAAGCATGAATATGTACTGAATAAAATACAATGTAGAAGTCACCTAAAACAGAGCATTCCTGTGGCAAATGCAACAGACTAACTTGTATGATGAACCCTTTTTATGGTCTGGATACCAGCAATATCACAATACTAAGCACCATCTCTCCATTAAATAAAATGTCAAATTGGAAGACTGTATTTCAATATGTTAAACATGGGTAGTTGCCCATTGTGTTTTAGTCTTACTTTAAACTTCGAGGATGATCCAACTACCAATGTGAAACAGAGCACGATGCAACTACCAGCCACGTAAAAACAATGTCTGACGTCTTTGATATGGAAGTACCTGTGGCCATTGTTTTTCTTGTCAAAGTTCATGATCTCAGGCACAATGAATGTGCAGTCTTACCTAAATTCTGCTTCTTAAACTCTATATGTTTGTCCTCCCAGTGTGTCTTGCAGCAAAGTCTTTCTGAAATGGACACATCATAAATGGGGTTACCTGGTTAGGGTGACCAGATTTCTAAACCTAAAAACTGGGACAGCCCAGCCATTTTCCCTCATTTCAATATGGTTATTACAAATTTGAAATAATTTAACTTTTATGTAATTTACTTTAAATTTATTGAACTATTCTACGCTATTTCCAAATATATTAATATTGGCACTGTTTTTGAAATAATTCAAACTACTTTTGGTGAAGATACACATTCACCAACATGACTAACTAAACAACCTGTGCAGTCCTGGGTTTCTCACAATGCACAGATGGAACTTTTGAGAAAGTTTTGTAGTAGGAGAGTATGCTATTATAACAATGAGCAAGTCAAATATGCCTATTACATTTGTGATTCAATGTGACTGATGTCTTTCTCATAAAACCAGGACATTTTGTGTGCCCTGAGAACTTTTTGGGACACTTGGACAAACTACCAAAAAACGGGACTGTCTCGGCACAACCGGATGTCTGGCTACCCTATAATTTGTTCACAGTCAGACTTAATGAATTCAGCAGTTGACTCAGATGTCCTTGGTTAATATCCAGTTTCCATTCTGCCAATAGTGACAACACATTGAATTGATGACATTTTCAACTAGTAGACAAGTAGTAAACTCCAAAAACACTTCCTGCATCATGGGAAAACATTTTGTATCCAAAAGTTAGTTCCTTTTGTTGATCAGGAATCCTCCATTTCTGCTCTTTCTGGCTTCTTTTTTCATCAGATCAAGTGCTCATGATGACCTTCACTCATATGACCCACTTAGATATGAGGAAGTGTTGCCAAACTTGTGTGAGATACTCTAACATTTCTACGTACACATAGATAAGTCATAGCTACAATAATCAGAGTAAAGGTCAGATCTAGCTCGTGGTGTGTCACTGAAATTTAAAAGCCAAATCAATTTAATTTAAAAATAGACAGAAGATGGAGATAAAATTTAGATGCAAGGAACCACATTAAGCATTGAAATGCAAGAAAAAAAGCCTTGTACACACAGACAAAGATGATTTTATATTTAAAGAAGTTTGACAACCTCTTTGTATCAATTAACTTTACAAAACAAAATCAAATGTACACGAAACTGGACATGTCTGCACAAATGTGAGGACAAAACTGCTTTCTACCAATGCAGAATTTCATGATAACCAAGAAAAATTGAAAGAATCAAATACACACTTAGGTAAAGTTGTAAAAAAATAAAAATGATGCCTACCTAACTTTAACTAATCAAATAAAACTGCAAAAGGACTATTCTGTATTTTCATGGGAAGGTTGGAATAAAATCTGTGAAGGTTCAATTCCACAAATCTTTGGCCAAATAATACCACAAGAACACAGATAATTCAAAGTCAGTAACTTTTAGGGTATTCTAAATTAAAAGTCACAGACAAGCAAAATGTTCTGCACAGCAATAATGTGACTCAAGCCGATGTTCTGGACTACTGATTGTTCTCAGCCAGGTTAGTCAAAAGAGAACAGTGACATCATTAAGATGGCAAAGGAAGTGCACCAATTCAGTTTGTGCTTATTTTGCCACAAGGCAGAATATGTTTTGAAAAAACTTTTTTCTGCTTTTCTCTACAACAGCATTGAGTACATAATGATTGTTCTAGTCACTTACAAAACAAGAGATAATCCTTGAACTGTTTCATCATCAAACTCATCTTCAAATAAGAAGGACTGATGCATTCTCTACCATAATGGAAATACTAACTTCCTATTCTGGATCATATGATTCATCCACTGAAGAACTCCAGGACATGTCCCAGACAGGCAAATTGAGCATACTTCTAGAAAAATGTCATAATCTCAAGTTCCAAACTTAACAATGGCCAAGGCTGAGCTACTATAGACAATTAAATAGAAATATTACATGAATTTGGAAGAGTATCTATCTATGTATATATTAAACAAATGTTTATCTGTAATGCTCTGTATCTATTGAACAATTAATCATAAAAAATTATATATCAAAAAATTAATTTTCAAGAGTCATTACAAGAAAATCAACACTGATCCTTCAGTCTTCATATGTGCTGAATAGTCAATCAGAAAAAAAGCTTACGAAGAACAAAATTGTTTTTTGTTAGGGAATTACACATAAAAACAGGATTTTCTCCATTGACTGATGTAAAGAAATATTCTAAAGATAGGAACATGAAGGGAAAAAGCACATAGAGAGAGAAACGTGTTTGAATATATATATATATATATATATATATATATATATATATATATATATTATTACTATATA